AAAAATTAGTCAGGGGTGCTGGCACCCACCTGTAGGCCCAATTACTTGGGAGTTTGAGGTAGGAGGCTTACTTGAGCCCAGGAGTTCAAGGCTGCAGTGAGCTAGGATAGCTGTACCGCACTCTAGCCTGCGTAACAGAGAGAGATCCTATCTCAAAAAACAAAGAAAAACATGAGTCTTGGGACACAGCCCTGGGCTCCAAAGAGGTCTCTGACACAGTGGGATGCATGACTGTGGAGGAGTCAAAGCTGTCCGAACCTCAGGTTTCTTATCTGTAAAATAAGAACAATGACAGCAGGACTTCACAAACACTAAATGACAGAATCTACATAAAGCCTTAGCTCAGGGGCTGGCAATTGTAAGCTGTTAGCTGTTACATTATCCTTATTACTATATTAGTTAAGAAGTGCTCCCCAAACTGCTTGCAACAGAGTCACTTGGGGAACTTACATATGCAGAACCTCCAGGGATATCGCACAAGAACCTGTTTTCTCTCTCTCTTTTTTTTTTTTTTTTTTGACAGAGTCTTGCTCTATCTCCCAGGGCTGGAGTGCAGTGGCACAATCTCAGCTGATTGCAGCCTCTGCCTCCTGGTTCAAGCGATACTCATGCCTCAGCCTCCCAAGCAGCTAGGATTACAGATGCCTGCCACCATGCCTGGCTAATTTTTATATCTTTTTGAGACAGAGTCTCACTCTGTCACCCAGGCTGGAGAGCAGTGGCAGGATCTCGGTTCACAACCTCTGCCTCCCAGGGTCAAGCAGCTGGGACCACAGGACCACGCCACTCCACCCGGCTAATTTTCGTATTTTTAGTAGAAAGGGGGTTTTACCACATTGGCCAGGCTGGTCTCAAATTTCTGACCTCATGATTCGCCCGCCTCAGCCTCCAAGAGTGTTGGGATTACAGGCGTGAGACTGCACTTTTTTTTTTTTTTTTTTTTTTTTTTTTGAGACAGGGTTTCACTCTGGCACCCAGGCTGGAGTGCAGTGGCGTGATCTCGGCTCACTACAACCTCCACTTTGCGGGTTCAAGCTATTCTCCTACCTAAGCCTCCTGAGTAGCTGGGACTACAGGAGCGCGCCACCACGCCCGGCTAATTTTTGTATTTTTAGTAGAGACAGGGTTTCACCATGTTGGCCAGAATGATCTCGATCTCCTGACTTGGTGATCCACCCGACTCGGCCTCCCAACGTGCTGAGATTCCAGGCATGAGCAACCACGCCCAGCCGAGCCTGCACGTTGAAAGGTTCCCCACGTGACCTGACAGTCAGTGCGGCACAGGTCTGTGGACTGGCTCTACGAGAAAACGCTATCACACAAACGCTCCGTGCTTGGTGTCTCGGGGCCTAGTTCAAGCCCCAGGTCTGCCACTTTCCTGGAAAAGCCAACTTTCCAAATGGAGATAGCAACATCGACTCTGCAGTGCTGTAAGGTTCCAGGGGAGGTGCTCACCGGCCAGACCCACGCTCCACCGCCGCCCACGGCTGCTGGCTCACACGCGGGCTAGGCACAGCGCGACCACGTTTTCCCGGGCTCTTCCACGCAGACGGCTTTCTCTGGCCCTAATGCCGCCGCTGCCGCCACTGCCGGCCTAGGTCCCCCTGGATGCAACGCTTCCCAGACCCTGCTTCCTGCCGGGCACGCAGGGGGCGCACGGCGCCCGCCGCCCGGCTCCCAGCCCGACTCGGCCTCCCTTCCTCGGGCTGTGCCCGACTCGGGCCTCACCATGGCAGCTGCTCTGCCTCAGGGACTCAGGCTCCGACTTCCTGGCCTTGCGGCCCCGGCTCAAGGGTGGCCGGTGGGTCAGAGGTCAAGGGAAGCCGCAGAGAGCGCTTGCGCGAGACGGCCCTGGGCATGCGTGTTACCTCGGTCCCGGGGCGGGGCGCCGGCGGTGTCGTAGCCGCTCGGGGCGGAGTCGGAGGCGGGATTTGACACAGGGCGGAGCCTGCTTCGGGCTCCGGACAACTGGGGACGGGCGTGGGGCGGTACCAGGAGCCTCAACGGCCTGTGCGCCTACGCTGGTGCGCTGGAGCAGCTAAGCACATCGGTCAGACGTGGGCGATTTCTGCCCTTGATTTCGCCAAAATATTTGGGAATGCAACATTATATGAAATCAACGAACATATATGGAGTAGGATCCCAAATTCTCAGGAATATTGAAGAAAATAGGAAACTTCAAGATAGGTTTCATCCATAGTCCTCCTGCCTGGGACGCTCGTTTCCTCCTTCAAATAATTGCTCAAGTGTCACCTCAATGAGGCCCACCTAGACCCCTTACAACGCCGTGACTTGCCCCCCATGAATGAAAAAAGTAACAGCTTTACTGAGATATAATGCATACACTTGACATTTCACGGTTGTCAAGTGCACAGTCCAATGCCTTTTATTCACAGAGCTGTGCCACTGTCCACTATTAGTTCCAGTACGTTTTCATCACCCATTAATCACTCCCCTCCCCTAGCCTCCGTCAACCACTCATTTTTCTCCCCGTGGATTCGCAGGTTCTGGACATTTCATAGAAACGGAATCATACAAGCTGGGCGTGGTGGCTCACGCTGGTAATCTCAACAGTTTGGGAGGCCGAGGTGAGAGGATCACTTGAGGCCAGGAACTCAAGATCAGCCTGGGGAACATGGTGAAACCCCATCTCTACAAAGAGTACAAAAATTAGCCAGGTGTGGTGGCAGGCGCCTGTAGTCCCATCTACTTGGGAGGCTGAGAGGTGGGAGGATCACTTGAGCCTGGGGGGTAGAAGCTGCAGTGAGCTGTGATCATGCCACTGTACTCCAGCCTGGATGACAGAGCAAGGCCCTGCCACAAAAACAAAACAAAACAAAACAAAAACAGAAAAAAAAGGAAAAAAAAGCAAAAACAAAGAAATTCAATCATACAACGTGCAGCCTTTTGTGACTGGCTTATTCTCCCTTCTTGATAGTCTCTATATTTTTTGTCCAAGACTCTGACCACCCTCTACCATACAACATAATTTACTTATTTATTATTTTGAGACAGAGTCTCACCCTGCCACCCAGGCTGGAATGCAGTGGCACGATCCTGACTCACTGCAACCTCCACCTCTCAGGTTCAAGCGATGCTCATGCTTTACCCTCCTGAGAAGCTGGGATTACAGGCATGGACCACCATGCCCCACTAATTTTTGAATTTTTAGTAGAGACAGGGTTTCGCCATGTTGCTCAGGCTGGTCTCAAACCCTTCACCTCAAGTGATCCACCCACCTCAGCCTCCCAAAGTGCTGGGATTAAAGGTGTGTGTTACCGTGCCCGACCTATTTATTGTTTTATTTTTTTCCTTTTTTTTTTTTTTAGATGAAGTCTTGCTCTGTCACCCAGGCTGGAGTGCAGTGATACAATCTCAGCTCACTAAAATTTCCACTTCCCGGGTTCAAGTGATCCTACTACCTCAGCCTCCCATCATGCCCAGCCCACACCTGGCATTTTTTTTTTTTTTTTTTTTTTTTTTTTGGAGACAAGAGTCTCACTCTGTTGCCCAGGCTGCAATGCAGTAGTATGATCATGCCTCACTTCGATCTTGACTTTCCAGCATTTGAGCGATACTCTTACCTCAGGTTGCTGAGTAGCTGGGACCATGTGCCTGGTTAATGTTTGTATTCTCTGTAGAGATAAGGGTCTCCCTATGTTGCCCCGTCTGATCTCAAACTCCTAGGTTCAAGCAATCCTCACACCTTGGCCTCCCTTTATTTTTGTTTATTGTTGAGAATCTGTTCCCTTCCACTAGAGTGGGAGTTCCTATTGGGCAAGACTTTTCTCTCTCTGCTCTCAGATGTCAAGTGCCTGGAACAGCATGTGGTGCACGGCATTCAGCAAATGGTGGGATGAAAGTTGGGCCGCCTGGCCCCCTGCTCAGCACCACTGCTCTTCTTCCCCTTCCTCCCATCCTCCACGTTCCTCCCTCTGTGCCCACATTGTCCTTCCTTGCTTGCCTGGAAGCGGCTCTCTCCCTGCCTGGCTCCTCATCAGCCCTCAGGTCTTGTCTCTTACCTCAAAATCACCTTCTCAAACCCTGAATCTCAGTCGCTTCTTGTTCCCCAGTTTCTTTTTTTTTTTTTTTTTTGAGACAGAGTCTTGCTCTGTCGCCCAGGCTAGAGTGCAACAGCATGATCTCGGCTCACTGCAACCTCTGCCTTCTGGTTTCAAGTGGTTCTCCTGCCTCAGCTTCCCCAGTAGCTGGGATTATAGGTACCCATCACCACACCTGGCTCATTTTTTTCTTTTTTTTGAGACGAAGTCTCACTGGCACCCAGACTGGAGTGCAGTGGTGCAATCTTGACTCACTGCAACCTCCACCTCCCGGGTTCAAGCGATTCTCCTGCCTAAGCCTCCCCAGTAGCTGGGTCTACAGGTGTGTGCCACCACACTCGGCTAATTTTTTTATTTTTAATTTTTAGTAGAGATGAGGTTTCACCATGTTGTCCAGGCTGGTCTCGAACTCTTGACATCAGGTGATCCGCCTGCCTTGGCCTCCCAAAGTGCTGGGATTACAGATGTGAGCCACTGCGCCTGGCCTAATTTTTGTATTTTTAATAGAGACGAGGTTTTACCATGTTGGCCAGGCTAGTCTTGAACTCCTAACCTCAAGAGATCCTCCCACCTTGGCCTCCCAAAGTGCTTGGATTACAGGTGTGAGTAACCACACCCAGCCAGTTTCTCTTCCTTACTGCTGTCTTTGCACCCTATCTGCTTGCCTGCAGACAGTCTAATCCCCCCACATAAGAAGGCTGTAGGAAGCTGAAGCTCCTTGCAAGACCTTGTCTCTCCTGTCCTTTACAGCATCCCGCCATCCAGAGCACTGCAGGTACCTGCGTGGTGAACGAATGACTTCCAGCAGTGCGCAGCTTATCAGGTCTTGGGAGCAGAGTGAGGCTAAGATACAGGGAAGCCCAAGTCCAAACCCCTGTCACCCACATTCCTGTCCCCTTCGCCTGCCAACCAGCCCAGAGACCACAGCAGCATAAGAGGTGGCCAGCTTAAAAAAGTTTAATTGCTGAGAACATCCAGAGCAGGGGCCAGTCTTTGTGGGGCTCACACCCCCCCTTATTGGACCATCAGCTCTGCGATGACTCCTTCTCCTGGCTACAAACCTGGGAAGCAGGGCAGCTGGTCCCAGGGCCCTGAGACTGGTGCTGCTCCAGAAGGCCTGGTGGGAGGCCGGCCCCCAAGGCCCTCGACCAGAACTGGGGCAGCAGGCGAGATGGGGCAGCGTGGGGTGAGCAAAGGTGCTGGATGAGGCCAGCCCAGGATGGGACCAGCCCAGGACAGCAGAGAGACCAAGGGAGACAGGTACCCAGGGCCTGCCCAGGGACATGCTACTGACCCCCCCCACCACTCTGCACCCCTGGCTACATGCTAGTGGGCAGCTGATGAGCAGCAGCTGACCCCAGAGACAGCAGAGATGAGAACAGTCCCTGGGAGCTGCCAGAGGCCCAGAAGCTGTGGAAGTGCCCACGGGAAGCCAGGGCTGCAGGGGTGAGAAGTGCCAGCGCCAGAGAGGCATCTTCCAGCCTGAGGATGAGCTGTGAGGTGTGCATTAGGAGGCCGCAGCACAGGTGAGGTGGAGGTGACAGGGGCGCAGGCTAGTCCTGGGGCGAAACACCAAGAGGTGGGAGGGAGTCAGGAGGGCCTGGGAGGGCAGGAGATGCGTGCTGTGGCATGTGCCAAGGGATGGCGCTGCCTGCCGGGAAGTGGGGCCATTTGCCACTCACCCACTCATCCTCGTCCACACCTTCAAAGGAGTCCTGGGGGAGCGGGTCGTCCCTGTTCCCCAGCTTTGCCACCATGGCATTCAGCAGCTGGGAGACAGGGCAGGAGAAGGGTCAGGAAAGGCATAGGACTCCCTCCCACTCCAAGAACAAACCTGACAATGCTGTGAAAGAGCTTGTTTTTTGTTTTTGGAGAGGCAGGGTCTTGCTCTGTCACTCAGGCTGGAGCGCAGTGGTGCAATCATGGCTCACTGTAGCCTTAACTTTCTGGGTGCAAGTGATCCTCATGCCTCAGCCTCCCAATTGGCTGGGACAAGTGTGTAACACCACACATGGTTAATTTTTTTTTTTTCTTTTGAGACAGAATTTCACTCTTGTTGCCCAAGCTGGAGTACAATGGCATAATCTCAGCTCACTGCAACCTCTGCCTCTCAGGTTCAAGCAATTCTTCTGCCTCAGACTCCCAAGTAGCTGGGATTACAGGCATGCACCACCCTGCCTGGCTAATTTTGTATTTTTAGTAGAGATGGGGTTTCTCTGTGTTGGTCAGGTTGGTCTCGAACTCCTGACCTCAGGTGATCCACCTGCCTCAGCCTCCTGAAGTGCTGGGATTACAGACATGAGCCACTGGTTAATTTTTAAAAATTTTTTGTGGAGATGGTCTCAAACTCCTGGCCTTAAGCGATCCTCCTGCTTTGGCCTTCCAAAGTGCTGGGATTACAAGTGTGAACCACCACACCTGGCCAAAATAGCTATTTTATTTTATTTTATTATTTATTTATTTATTTGAGATAGAGTCTCGCTCTGTCACCCAGGCTGGAGTGCAATGGCTCGATCTTGGCTCACTGCAACTTCCACCTCCTGGGTTCAAGTGATTCTCTTGCCTCAGCCTCCTGAGTAGCAGGGATCACGGGTGCACGCCACCACACCTGGCCAAAATTTTGTATTTTAGTAAAGATGGGGTTGTTTCACCGTGTTGCCCAGGATGGTCTCAAACTCCTGAGCTCAGGTGATCCACCCGCCTTGGCCTCCCAAAGTGCTAGGATTACCAATGTGAGCCACCTCGCCCAGCCTCAGAACAGCCATTTTAATTAAAGCCCTGACAAAGCTGATGGGTTTCCACTGAAAAGGACACAAAGAAGAGATGGTAGTGAGAGACTGAGAGGCTGTGGCATACGGCACCATGTACACGAGCTACTGTCTCTGTACATGGCCTCCAATGCTCAAAATGTACTCCAGGGTCCCAAAAGCACTTGGGCCCAGAACCTCGAGCTTGGGATGGGTTTGGCCTGGCCAGGATGGGGCTCTCACTGCCCTCCCCCACTTCTCGTGCCCTGTGGTCAGTCACAGGGCTCTGGAAGGTCTCCCCACCCAGATCTAGTGTGAAGAGGATGTGACATGTGGTTGCTGTCCCAGTCTGGGTCGGGGCTGGAGAACTAAGGGGTCATGGCCACGTGCAGCCAGGACTCTGTCACCTCCACATGGCTGCTCTCTCCCATGCCTACCTCCTCCTTCTTTTGTTGATCTGACTTCTCTTCCAGGTACTGCGCTGAGGAGGGGGCCCGACGGGCAGGGGTCTCTCGGGGAGCTTGGCTCACTGGGGCAGGGCAAGAACAAACATCAGAGAGTTTGCTTGGTGGGGGCTCCTTGGTGCCAAGCCCTAGGAGATTTCTTTTCTTTGCTTTTCTTTTTGAGACGGAGTTTTGCTCTCATTGCCCAGGCTGGAGTGCAGTGGTGCGACCTTGGCTCACTGCAATCTCTGCCTCCCAGGTTCAGGCGATTCTCCTGCCTCAGCCTCCGGAGTAGCTGGGATTGCAGGTGCCCACCACCACACCCAGCTAATTTTTGTATTTTTAGTAGAGACAGGGTTTCACCATGTTGGCCAGGCTGGTCTCAAACTCCTGACCTCAGGTGATTTGCCAGCCTCGGCCTCCCAAAGTGCTGAGATTACAGGCGTGAACCACCATGCCATGCCAACCTAGGGGGTTTCTATGGCACAGACCTAACAGGTGGTGTTAAAAGTCAATGGAGGCCGGGCGTGGTGGCTCACGCCTGTAATCCCAGCACTTTGGGAGGCCAAGGTGGGCAGATCACCAGGTCAGGAGATCAAGACCATCCTGGCTAACATGGTGAAATCCCGTCTCTAAAATAAATAAATAAATAAAAAGAAAAAAGAAAAAAAAAAAAAAGAGTCAATAGAGCCTCAGTGTGTAAGGCCTGCCCTGGACACCAGGGTGTGTGCGTGTGTGTGTGTTAGGAGTAGGGACTTGCAATGAAAACACAAACCATGGGCACTGCCCTCCAGAGCCTCAGAGACTGGTTAACACAGCCACTCCACCCTCGAAAGGGCCAGAGGATTCTGTGCGCCAACAGGAATGGAACTTCAGCCTGGGCCTTCTGTCCCTTTCTCCAGCCCCCATCTCGCTTCCTCCCCACACCCAGTCCCTCAGCGTACCTGGGCTCATGTCAGGAGGCTGCAGGCTGAGACGCCGGGGTTGCCCAGTAGCACCTTGCAGCCAGGCCTCGGCACTGAGCACGGGCTCCCAGCTCACAGCCGTGTCTGGGAACACGTCATCCTGAAAGAACTCTTTCTGCAGAGGGAAAAACAGGCTGCCCTGAAACACTGACCAGGGGCCCAGGGCACACGGGCATCTGTTGGGGAGGGAGGAGGCAAGACCTGGGACCCTCTCAGCAGCCCGTGGCTTCCATGAGTTTCAGCACCTCAGTAGAAGGGGACAAAGAATAACGTCCCCAAAGAATAATGAGTGGGACCATTTGGAAGCAGGGCCAGACGTGACCCAAAATCCCCTCTAGGCACTGAGAAGGGGATGGGCATCAGAGTCCCAGGGCCCCACCCTCACCCGGACTCTGGGCAGCCGGAAGGCCACAGGCTCCAGGGAGGACTGACGCAGCCGCAGGCACCGCATGAACTCCACCTCCCGCACATCACACTCTGTCTTCGGCAGGAGGGCGAAGCCCTGGGGGAGGGAGGGAGTCAGAGCTGCAACTGGGACCTAGAACTCATGGCTTGGCATGCAGTCTCCCCAGGGTGCCAGCATCCCTCACTGAGGACCATCATGACTGTGGCCTGTCCCTGGTCAGTAAAGTGCTGATCATGTTGAACTACCTGCTCTTTGGAGGGAAAGCCCTGATTTGTAGCATTTCCCTATTTCCACAGTGTACAAACTCCCACCATGGCTGACTGCTACATGCCAACTCCACTTCCTGAATGTGGTACTGGGATGAGATTCGAATAGCACATCATCCCGCATTTCCTCCATGCACTCCAACATGTGACCTCAACAGCAAAAATAACAGTAAAATTGGATACATTAATTAGGAAGTGATAAACTGGTTATTACTTTGTTAATATTCTTACTTTTCGGTTCATATTGTGAGTTCATATGGTTTAACCTTATCTAGTGTAGTTTTTTGTTTGTTTTGTAGAGATGGGTTCTTGCTTTGTTGCCCAGTCTGGTCTTGAACTGGGCTCAAGCAATCCTCCTACCTCAGCCTCCCAAAGTGTTGGGATTCCAGGGCACTGTACCCAGCCTACACTGTAATTTTTAACAATGGTTGAATATGACAATGACTCTCAAAATTCCTAAATAGTTTCAGCACCAGCTCCTGCCAGTCACAGGGCACAGCCTCAGCCCCAGCCCAGGACTCTGACCTTGACCCACAGGCTCCTGCACTTACCCATATGACCACCAGGGGGCGGGGCAGCCCTGTAGTCCCATTGGGGACCAAGCGCCAGGGTGGCCTCACCTTGTGGGGATCAGCCGAGGTGAAGCTGTTGCACTCCAGGAAGAAAGGGGACTCGGGGAGCAGCTCATACAGGAACACACGGGTGTCGCCCTGTGGGGAGGAAGGCAGGCCAGGGACCCTCCAGCAACACCAGCCTTCTTCCCACTGCTTCTCACCTGCCGCCCCACCCTCCAGCCCAGCCCACCTTGCCAGTCAGGAGCACCAGGCCCGTGTCTGAGTCATAGCTAGGCAGCAGGGTTGAGGGAGCCACATCCAGGCCCAGCACTGCCAAGGGGCCACCAGCCAGGCTTTCAGCTTCATATAGGAGCATCTGGCGCTCACTGCGGCTACAAGGGGGTTTGGGGGCAGAAGCAGGTGTTCAGAGCTGGAAGGGCCTGGGGCAGGGCAAAGACTCCCACACGGCCCCTGCTCCATTCTGGGTTGCAGGCGAGGCCCAGTGCGGCCCTCAGAAGCGCTGGCCCAGCCAGGCGTAGTCACACCCTAACCTGCCCCTCTGCCTCTGGGTCCCCTATTGACTCTCTCCCCCACTACTCACCCACCCATCCATCTCCCTCAGACCCCCTCATGCACCCCTGCATCTATGTCCCCACCACCACACCCACCCCTCCATTCATCTCCCCGAGACCCCCTCGCCACCCCCTCACCCACCCCTGCATCCATTTCCCCCAGGACCCCTTATCCACCCTTGCACCTATCTGCCCCACCCCCCTCACCCACTCCTCTATCCATCTCCCTCAGACCCCCTCACCCACCCCTGCATCCATCTTCC